GCACCGTTGGACTGGCACTTTCCTATTCTACAGTGAATTCTACCTCCGGGTGGCTTACAAACGGTTTTTGCACCTTCCTGATCTAAATTTGACCCTCAAAAGCCACAAGCCACACACCTCAGACGCCCTCGTCCTTGCTTCCTTCCTGCCTTCCTTCCTTCCCTCCTTCTTTCCTTCGCATGGCTAGAAAGCCACGAAAGCCACGAAAGCCGCCAAAGCCACGAAAGCCAAAAGCCGCACAGAATCCAGAAACCGCGAAAGCCACGAAAGCCAAAAGCCACAGAAGCCAGAAGCCAGAAGCCACGAAAGCCAAAAGCCACAGAAGCCAGGAGCCACGAAAAACAAAAATACTAAAAAGAAACAAACAAAGACTAAATCAAATGGCCCTCCTCTGCCCCAGCCAATAACTTGCTACGTAAAGAGAGACTCCAGCTAGCTGAAGACAGCTTTCGTGACTGTCTCTCAGTGTCATACACAAAGTGTAGATCTGATCCACTTCTGCCTCCAGCACTTTCCCGCACTTGTTTGGGCCAAACCTGCCGATCTGAAGACTGAGCAATCCAGAAATCACATGAACAGGGTCCCAACCTTGCCGCCCCCCAAATGTCGCATCGTCCGTTTGTTCCTCCAAACCCAAAGGAGGACACACCTGAATCCGCAAAGCAAGAATTTCTGTGTCTATCGTGTTGTATAGCCTCCCAGTCAACAATACAAGGTCGGGGCCGGTAAGTGCACTGTTGAGACCACTGTCAACTGCCTGTCAGGTTGCCCCCAGCAAAACTGGACTGCCCTCGTCAATCTGCACTGCTTCTTATTCTTTTCTGTAGCTGAAACTGTATGTGCCTCTTTTTCATCAAGCACATCCACATCAGCAAGTTGTCAATTTGTTTGCATGCAAGTCTGAGCTTAGCTGCTAACCTTCACAGCACAACATGGCTCTAGCAACACACAAAGACTAAAACCCAAATGTCATGGTGCAAGAACTCTTGTGTCCCTGTGACGCTCTGGTGTCCCTGTGACGGTCAACAAACTATCGAACGCGATAGGCTCAACAACAGAAGCTCCTTTGGAGTTCTGTGACAGACATGGATGGTCCCCTTCTGTCGCGACCATGTTCCAGCTGTACCCGGAGACATGGTCAAGGACACTCATGCTGTCTGCTCAGGGTTGGCCAACTGGTACCCCACATGTGTGCATGCTCCACTGTCTATTCGCGAACTTGACGTTGCTCAATAGATATGTGTATATATGCACTCGTCTGTTACATATGAGCACACATACACCAAGTGCCCTCAACATCTCAGCATGTGAGTTCACATTTGCATGAGCAGAGAGACATGTGAACACGCATCCAAATCCAACTATCTAATGTATCTACGCAAAATCTGTGCATGTGGCTTCAACAGCTGGGGGTCTCCTCTTGGCAACCCTCTGTGCGATGCTGGCATACACCTGCGTCCGCCTAGCGCCAGTTCAAAGGATTCGAAAGGTTGATTTGGGCAGCATAGGCAGGCCAACAGCACGGGCCACTGCCACAGCTTTGCTGAGCCAACAGAGCCAAGCTCCTCAAAAAACGATGGCTCCAACAGCTAAGCCGGTTACTGCGCGGCTCATCTTGCGCTTCGGCCTCCTGCCACTCTCCCACCAACATGCGCCTTGTGTGACAAGTTGTGCGGCGACCTCTTGCACTCGAGGCTCTCCAAAGAATACAGTGCAATGGCAATTCTATGAACAAAAGGGACTGTTGTACTACTAGGAGCAAGGACGCTACTAGGGACTCCTGGCACCGCTACTAGGAGCAAGGACGCTACTAGGGGCTCCTGGCCGTATTACTAGGAGCAAGGACGCTACTAGGGCCTAGCGGAAACAAGTCCAGTGCGTTCCAAGCAGCAAACTTCTTCAGAGCTTACACTATTCACTTCTACCTCGCGATGGCACCACTGAAAGCAAGCCAAAAATGAAAACTTGCAATTGAACAAACAGCTGACTTGTAAGAGTGACAGGTCATGCCTCACTCAACTTGGTCTCAGCCCGTGGTTGATCTGTTTCTTCAAGTTCAATATCTTGAAGTGTTGGACCTCAAGAGCAGCCTGCTTGCTAACAGCTTACCCGCTTGGCAACTGGAAGTGTTGGCTAAGCTCATCAACTCATGGCCAAAATATGTATTTATATAATCATTTGGAGTAGATGGTTTTTGGACACGAAAATTGAATATGTAAAGAATGACCCATAGATAGAATATTGGGCCCACACATATACCTACTCCAGGATGTTATCAATTTAATTGGTGTCCTATTTGCTCTTCTTCCATTTTCTCTTCCATCTTCCCTTTTCCATCTCCAGTTCCTTCTCCTTCTCTTCCTGCTCCTTTTCCTCTTTCTTTGCGTGCCCTTTTCCTACTCGTCTTCTTGTTTTTCTCTTCCTTGTCCGCTCTATCTTCTTGCTTTTCTTGCCGGCGACCACTTCTTAAGGACCTCGTGCAGTGAAAGGCGAGCCCGCTGGGCGGTTGGTGACACCCATAGATGATAGAATATTGATAGAATATGTGACTATATAAATCTGTCATTCTTATCTGAATCAGAGATTGAGGTCACATTTTTGGAAAATAACAATGCACTAATACTATATAATATCCATATTCTATCAATGTTTTGGCCTTGACCTATTTTTGAAAATGGGGACATTCTATCTACTCCAGGATATGTATATAATATATACAACTCGTGAGACACTATGACTATATGTTCCCTGGTTGGCTCAGTGTCTGAAATGCCTGAAGGTCAAGGAGCCATCCTCAGTAGTCTGGTTGACGGCCATATCACGCAGTGTCACGTTGCGAGGATCGATGGTGGGAGGATACCAGGGAAACTTGGCGGATTCTCCTTCAGCATCTTTCCTCAGTCAAAGGTCTATGCGAGATGTTTGAAGGCATACAGTTACTTGTCAACATCGACTGCCGCCCATGTTTGAGTTTTTGAGGAAACGCAAGCTCCTTGGCAAACAAGACCTGGACTAGTGACTAGACAAGATTGTAACTCAAGTTAAGTACAAAACAAAAAATGCATGGAACCTCCAGACAGGCCCTTCCGCGGAGACGAGGCCATGTGCCAAGTCTCTCTGCCGTGGGCTTTGCCGGCTTCACCTTCAACTTCTCTTCAGCCTTGTTCTCGGACATGGCTTCTGAAAGGCTTGAGAAAGAAACGCTGCCAGCTGCCAGAAACGGAGTTCCGGGACCATGTCAGCACAAGTGGAATCCTGGACCATCCGCATCCACATACCTGCTGTCATCATTTCTAAGGGCTTTTATGACTACTGTACCCTCTCCAGCAAGCACTAGCATCTTGCCTCGGTATCGAAGAAACAGGGAAAGCCTTTCACCTGCAAATGCGGGTTGAGCCTGAGCAAACGCTTTGAATGACCCTTTTTGCTTGGTGGCTTTCACGATATGCAAGACTGTGAGAGGACAAGCAAGGCATTACCCAACACCATAGTACAACAACACGTCCAACAAAATTGTGCTTGATTTACTGAGGCTTGTCCAAGAGAAGCATAAATAATATTATATGAATCATATGTTATATATCCTTCAGTACAGTCCTCGTGAAGTATTGTGACAACTGCTGTTGATGCATGTGAGGTGTATATTGAGGCGCTCGCTGGTAGCAGTGGGCATTTGGGGGGCATGTCCCTGCCATCAACATTGATACCTGGGAGCAGCAAATGCCATCGAGCTATTGGAAGCCAGTCGTTAGAGCTTGAGCAAAAGCAGGTTCGCTTCAGGTTGGTTTCATGATCGCTGTACCTAGTCTCTACCTAGGCGGCAACAGTGAGCACCTGAGGCACTGGCACATTTCAGGAAGCCCGCAATGCCGGCCTTATAACTAAACTTGACACTGTCAGAACAGTGGCTCGGGAAAAAGCAGTGTGAGCCACAATGTGGGCTTACAAGAATTCTTTCGCTGGATGAGAAACCAGAAACTGGTGAGCTCAGGGCCGCACACTGCCTTCCAAGTGCCCAATATTTGACTTGGAGCTTGTCAGTGCCAAAGTGGTGTCGCGCGGCTCCATGACCTTGACAAAATGGACACATGCGGCCGGTAACTCGGCAAGCCGTGCACTCAGCCCAACGCATTCTTTAATGCACCAACTTCAATTGGATCGCCCAGTGCGGTACCTCTGCGCGGCTCTCCACCAAGATCTAAAGAGCAGAAAAACATCATTGTGCCGCTCTGCCTGTGCCGTGGCATTCCGCGAGGTTGATATCCCTGGCCTTGTTTCCAGCCTGAATGCAAATCGACAGAGCTCGTCTGACGTGCGTGCCCCTTCATGCACCTAACCAGTCAGTCAACCTCCTACGCCTTACACGGTCATGCTGCATTGCGTACGCGTTACGGAGCCAAGAAATAGGTGAAGAGCCTAGCACTGCTGTGTCCATCTTGGTCCTGCCTCTCTCATAGATTGGAGGATGCAGGCTTGCTGAGACGGACCGTTTGGCGCGGTCATGCTAGCACTCCTTCCGTCCTGCATCACGGCCGTAAGGAGTGCCCTCTGAGACAATACGCCTTGCAACTTGCTAATATGGGGGGTCCCTGAACGAGGGGGCAGCCCGAAAACGCAAGAGGTCGTCTAGGTTTGTCTTTCCCCCTGGTGTCCTCTCAAGTCTTCATGTTTTGAGACAAAGCATCAGAATGTAAAAAAATGTGCATCCTGGTTGATACAGCAGCCCAACACACAGGAGAGTTGGTCGTACATGTCAACTTCGGAGGCACTGGCCTAGGTATCCAAAGCTCAGTGGCACTCTGGAGATGGAATACTGACAAAACTTCATATGAAAACGTGACAAACATCCTCAGCCTCCTTGTTCATAAATGCTTTTTCCTTGCGATTTCAGTGTTGAGGACCAGCCAAAGAAAACTCCACCCATCCCGCAGAGTTCACGGGACATTTCGTAAGGAAACACTATGTACAGTTGCACTGCCTCAGATTTCAAGGCCTGCTTGTCACATATATGGGATCCCCCCGGCATACAACTTCTTGCTGGACTCAACCCACATGGTGGATCTACTGGACGAGTCAATGGAAGCATGCTTGCGGCCAGCAGTGCCAGCGGATGCAGCACCAAGAGATATAGACATGGGATCTGTGGACTTCAGGTCAAGTCGGGGAAGCACAAAGGAAGAGAGACTTTGGCTCTCCGAAAGCGAATTCTCCAATCCGACCATGTCCAACAGTTCCACGCGGGACTCGGGTGTCGTCAGAAGCAGCTGTGCTTTGTCATCACCTTGCTGCTCCAGCGTGAGCATGGAGGTTTGGTTTCGCAAATCTGCACCCACCACCGAGTTTCGACGATGAAGATCCACTTCCACGTGGTGTTTTTGCTTCTCGCTTTCCTCCGCGGCTTCCGTGGCCGAAACATAGGCCGCGAGCATGTCCAGCTCCATATCATCCAGAAAGTCCATTTCCCGTTCCGATAAAATGTCACTACCCTCCAAGTTCAAGGACCGCCAAGCGGCGTGGGCATCCCCTTTGAAGGTGGAGTGTTCGATCACCGAGACAAACTCCTCTTCGCTGAACGAGCCCGAGCCGTCAGAGTCCAAGGCATGAAAAGCAATGGCAACTCCACCGTAGGTGGCAAAGCACCATCTTCGAAAGAGAGCCAAATTTTCCGCCACTTCGGCATCTATGTTGTGAAGAGTGATGAAGCCTAAGCTCTGCTTGTCCAAACCCAGCCAGGCTTTGGCACAATCACCCTTCCACTGAATTCGTTCAGCTGCTTGGTTGAAGGCAGTCCACCTACAAATTCCAGTGGCATCCAGATCCAAACACAATCTCCATGCCTTCACTGGGTGGTTCCCATACTTGGACAGGACGGTTTCCTTGAACGACTCAGCTTCGTTGAGACCTGCCTTCTCGGACAACCATTTCACAGGCTCCCACGATTCCAAAAAACGCACGTCCTTGTAAGAGAGCTTTCCATGGGGTTCCCAGTCCAGGATTGAAAACAAATAATTGCTAAAGCTCGTCTCATCCACTGGCTGCACATGCTTCGCATGCACACGTGTCAAGGCAAAGACAAAGGCTGGTCGATCCAGTGAAGCAGAAGCGGCTTGCGGTGCTAGTGGCTGCACCACCATGGCGGACGCTCGTCGCTTTCTCTGGTACCCCCTCTCAACTCCCAAGAGTCTTGACCAGGCCTCTTTTACTCCACCCAATGCCGCTGCCCAGGCATGAAACAGCGCCAATGCGCGAGCCTCTTTGAAGCCAAACTCCTCTAAAGCAGCGCGACCACCTGGTGCATCTAGTGCGCTCCAAAGAGATGACACGTCCCCACGCCATCCCACTTGTGTAGCTGCCCTTTCAATGTCAGACCGCTGGACAGAGAGGCACCCATCCGGATCTAGCAATGTGCGCCAGGTCTGCATAAGGTTTCCTCCCAAGCTGCTGCTTCTCAAAAAGCTCATGAAAGCCAACAAGGCTTGCATGGGGTTCTTTTTCACTGCTGGCCCTGTTGTGTTCATGACGGCCCGACTGCCAGTGGGTCTGAGCTGCATCCTCCTGTTGTGTTGTGATCTGGCCTCACGGAGGACGGGAAAGGTCAAGATGCAGTCGCAGCAGCCACATGGCAACAACGTCTCACCCGCCTTCTCAAACCACATGAGGTCATTGTTTGTCACATACCTAGTGGCTGAGATGGATATGGTGACGCGAGAACACAGAGTAAGCTGGAAAAAATGTTCCGCAAAAAAGAAATAAACAGTCATTGCGAGTCATCGCGCTGGTCATTTGGGCCCAGAAACCCGGATTGCTTTCGATCCAGACAAGAAAAGATGGTATCTTCGAAGCCACCAAACCTTGGCAGCATAAGTTGACAAGATCGCAGGAATGCAATTGTTCAAAGACATTTTGCATGTCACCAAGCAGCCAGCCATGCCTTGGAGCATTCTCCATAAATTGCTCGCGGATAAAGGTGAACTCCTTAAAAGCAAACAGCATCGGCGAGCATCAACTCTCAAGACTCCCCACGTCCTAGCCTTCCCACCCTCTCCTTCGAAGAACCCGGGAAAAGACCTGCTAAAACTATATACTATATACTGACATGAGGCAAGCTTCCACTGGCGGCACCGCACTCTTTTGCTTTCTGGGAGGCTTCCTCTCTCCTTCCGGAGGTCCCAACTCCACCAAGCTTCCGCGCAACTGCGACACCTGACATTGCTCACTCGACCCCTTCCACCCGGCACAACCCTCATCGGATGACCCCATGGTTTCTCAGGCGCTGACCATCTCATCAGTGGTCTGAAAGGTTTCGGCACACCAAGCTCGGAAGGCGGCCCACAAGTCGGCACACTTCGGGTCGACCTTCGCGGTGAAGGGTTGAACATGTGAAGCGCTGAAGGTGCAACACACGCAACTGCACGAACGGCATGCAATGGCACACAATGGCAAGGCAAATGTCCCATGTTGCATCGCCAATCTGACGCCTCGTAGAGCGTCAAGAAGCCAGAGCCATCAGCCTCAGCCATGCATTGTGCTCTGTGGCCATTCACAATGTCGACAACCCATATGCATGACTATGCCAGGGAACGTCAATTCTCATAAAAAGGGCTTCTGCATCGCCTTTGAAGCTCAACCTGCAGTGTCTGGATTGCTGTGGCGCTTAAGGGCATTTAACGGCATTTATGTTATGAAACTCATGTGGCTGCACCTCCGCATGGCTGCGATGAATTCTTCCAATGAAACTTGTCCGTCACCATCTTCTGGATCGAAATATCGCAGCCAAGCAGGAAGCACGTGGCCGGATGTATTCCTTTTAGCCATGCGATGTTCACATGTGCAAAAATTTGCAAGCATTCACAATGCCCATGTTTCACAAACAGGATCAAAGTGCTGAAACTTGCACCCAAAGCTCCGAAGAAATGCAGCAAGGAAGTCAGATGCATCACAGGAGCGCGAGTTGAAGCCCATCAGTTGGCTACAACGGGAGTTCTTTCTATCTTATGCTGCCATATGTCATGCTCTTGCGCTGCAGCTGATCGTCTAGAGTCTAGAGTCTAAAGTTTCCCCCTCAAAGTCGGCTGAGCCAAATGCCATGACTCCATCAAATCAAACTCGTAAGTTTGCCGGGTGGAGGTGGCCGCTGCTTTCAACAATGTGAACCTTGGCCTAAGCCAATGACTTTCAGGAAGATCAGTCCACAACCTTCGCCACGAGCATATCCATCTCCACCTGCAGCAAAGCACGCTCTCCCTCTTCCTCTCTCTGAAAATGTTGGCGACAAACCACCGGGGCGGGCACTCTCATCAAAAGTGAAACAGCGCCCCTTCGTTGAAAGCATATGAAGGCCACACCTCAGTGAAGTTCCATGGAAATGTTCCTCGCTCATCTGGCTTCGGCTAAAAGGATTCGACTTTGGGACGTGTGCCTTTTTCAACTGGGAGAACCTGTTTTTCAAAGAGCCTGTGGCCCCTGGCATGGCAATGTAGGAGCCGGGGCCTGGCAAACAGGCAAGCTATATATATAATGAGATCCCGACGGATGGTGGAAAAAAACAAGGAGCTATACAAACCAAAGGGATTGCGAGCCTATTTGGCAGCAAATGCCACCTGCCACGGACTCGTATAGCCTGGAAAGGTAGGAAGACTTCTTGAATGAAGAAGTTGGGCCAGTGGACAGGGCCATCAAACATCAAATTCCATCTAATTCCCCTTTTACCCTGGGCGCGTTCGATGGCTCCATCTACCTTCTCTGTTCTTGACGTAGCTTGGTCTTCTTGAGGTCATGGATGGCTGGCTGCTGGCAAAGGTCATCCAAAAGTCCATGAGTATGCACGAGTCGTGCTCAGCAATGGTGCAACATCACATACCCCGATTGTAGTACAGCTCCAGTACCAACTTTGACTCCGGCCACCGGCCAGTTTCCTCAGATCCGTTCTACAAGTCAGAGCTTAAGCGAACGAGAGATCGTGACTAAATGTTGCTTGAGAGCACCAGGCTAGGCATCAAATAAAACCTCCGGATAGACCAAGAATCTGCCATTTCCCTGAGAAGGTGGACATTGTGGGCAAACGCTGGGACACCTGGTTCCAACGTAGCGGCTTTCGCAACATGCAGGGCACCCTCATTAAGCTCACCTGAGAGTAGTTTGGCAACGCCGATATTGTTCTCGAGGTATGCCTGGCCGGAACAAGGCGGCCAGAACCACAACCTACCGCTCAACGTGCTGGCAATCCACACCACACCAAACAATGGAAATACGCTGAAACACTCTTGCACCCTGCCATCCCACACAGCATCCAAGGTTGTGGGCTTTGATTCTTAGTGACTATTGTGTGCATGGGTCATAGCAGGAAACATGCTGTCACCAAAACAGTGAGCGTCACGCGGAATCAAGCAGGCTTTTGGCCTGACACCAAGTCTGACAAGGGGCATTCTGCGGGTCATATTTCATTGCAAGTTGGAAGGCTGCCCTCCCTTCCTCCTTCATACCGAGATTCATGTAGGCGTAGCCTGGGCAAGAACCGGCTTGAGCAACTTACCCAGCATCGGAACGGCGTGATTGAGCAAAGACCCTCGACAAGCAACCTAAAGCATTGAGGCCATAGGGAACATCCTCGTTTCGCTTCAAGCCTTCCTTGATAGGTTGTATGGCATCCTCGAAGCGCTGAAGAAGAACCAGGGAGAATCCTGAAACAAGAAGCGCAGGGACCTTCTGGAAATTGAACACACTTGGAAAGCAGGCGCAAGAAATGCAGTTGAATCCAAGTGTCCATAGTCAATATAGAGTGACCAGAGGTTGTGAGAGCCAAAGCCTAAAGCATGCCTCAGATCTGCTGAGGCATTACATTTTGGCCCAACTGAGTCCTCCTAAGCACACAGTCCGCCAAAACACAATTGTAGCAGTAGCAGTTTCCTTCTTGACTTTTGATGGATGACCCATGGTGCAACATGGTGTCATCAACTACTACACAATCAGGATTCAGCTCCGGCACCCTGACAGGATCTTCGAAAATTTGGCTTCAGCTTCGTCAGCACGCCCAGTTTCAAGCAAAATCTGACCAATGCAATACTGAGTCAGCCCCGTACCATCCTGGCTCCACGGCAAAGCTGGTGCCTTTCCGAAACAATGTGAAAAAGGCACATACTTGGCACCGGGCAGTACTGCACACAGGCCCACCAGAGCAATAGTATTGTGATGCCTCTTGAGATCCCCAAACACACACCTATCCAATCGCCTATTCGAGGTTCACTTCCTTGGCTGTCGCTAAACCGCCTTAGTTTCGTAGCCTGTGGCACATTTGCCGAATAGTTGCACCCGCTGGTTGCAGTACGTCTTTGCGGGCCCGTGAGCCTTCACGGTTCAAACTTCCAAACAATCAAATGTGCGAACAGGCGTGTGCTCATGATGGTGACAAGGGTGATGATGACAATGACGACGACGTTGATGATGCATCTGTGGGCATGTGGCTGTTGGCATGTGCATGTAGCACTGCTCATTACACAAAAGGTTGTTGAGACTCATACCCCCACGTCTCAAACACTTGTCATCCTAATTACTGTATTACTTTTGTGAGCCTTCGTGTCAGTGCTCCCTGTCAATTCTAGATCATCAAGGTCACTCCACCATCGTGTCACAAAGTGCCCGGCCACACCAATCCGCACACTCGCTGATCTGCTACATCCAAGGTTCAAAGATCGCCTCCGCAGCTTCAAAGTGGTGCAAGGCTTCCGAGTAACGCTCCATCTTGTGCAGGACCGTCCTTATCAGTCACCCGGCCCTACCAAGCCCAGAGCCAAACCACCAACCCAAACCAGTAGAGAAGAAAAGAACCCCAAAGCCCATATCATGTATAGGATGATTCGAAAGAAGGCTATTCAACCGTGCTGGTTTTGAAACAAAGCCCTTCCAGTCGCTGCACAAAGATTCCCAAACTGGTGGCGCGTCTTGGTGGATTGTGGATAACTCTCCGCATCGGTGCCAAAAAGAAGCTCTCGTGAAGACCACTGTTGTGTGCGCACAGCACCTAGCCATGTGAAGACTGCAAGGATGCACACCACCACGGGAGCCGTGAGAAACTTGCAGCCGGTGGACCCCTTGGGAAGCCTGTTGGCCCCTTGGGCCGCAGAGGCGTGCGTTTTTGTGTCCGACATTGTTCCAAGAGCTGCGAGGACAAGAGCAGCTCCAACATTGCATGGGTACAGTAGTCGCTCGCCAACTGTGACTCCGACCAAGAAAAACAAGTTGGAAGCCGGCACAAAGGGAATGATAACATTGCAAAGGCCGATCAGAACAGCTCGTGCTCGTTTGGAAAAAGCCCATGAAGCCAAGGCACAAACACTCAAGTATGCCACCAGGATGGCCAAAACCCTTAGGTCTTGCCAAGTAGTTGACAAGTCCGGCAGAGCATTGTATGAATAGTCCCACGAAAGCGTCCAGGGCCACACCATGAGCTGTGCATACTTGGCATGAAAATACATGTACGTGGCCAGCCTCAGCCATGGGTCCGAGCGGTATTGCACTGGGGTGTCGACAAAGGAAAACCCTGCGCTGGTGCCCTGGGTGATCCAGCTTCTGCCAGCAAAAGCCGTGACAAAGATCAACATGAAAGGTAAAGATCTGAATGGATGCTTACCCAACAACTCAACTGAAGCCAACTGCAGCAACACACAAAAACCGCTTTCTTTGCAAAAGCCGCCCAGTACAGCAAGTACAGCAACCAGGCAGGTTCGGGCAAGTCTGCCAAAGGCCGGCTTCGAGCTTCCTGGCATCCAGACCAAGCAGGCCAAAAGCCAGCAGAATGTGGCCATCGAATCTGCCCTTCCGACCAAGTAGATAGCATTCTCAGCATGGACCGGGTGAACAGCAAAGCACCCAGCGGCTAAGAAAGAAAAGCGGGTTGACATCTTCCGCTGGCGCATCAAAAGAAGCAGCAGCAAGCTATTTGCTGAATGCAAGGCTACATTAAATGTGCGCAACGGCTGTGGCCTGAAGTTCCACGAGTTCATCCAATATTGCCCTACGTAGGACAAAACCACCAGTGGGCGGTAGGACTTGTGAGTCCAACCGCTGGCGAGGGAGTTCCCCCAAAAGTCATGCCGCAGAAGCTCTCGCAAAGGTGTGTCACCCCTGGCATCCGCGTTGCGTACTGCTGCAAAAAGCTCATCGATGTACCACTCGCTGTACGTCACACAGGGTGCAAAAACCATACTTAGCACAAATACGCCCAACGCCGCCAGCATCCAAGCGCCAGACGAGCTGGCCGTGCCTTCAGTCTTCGGAAGCCAAAGCCGAAGCGGTTGCTTTTTGGCCAAGTTGCTTTCCGGCTTCGTCTGCTTCGTCTGCTTGGCCGCGAACAGCTGCAAAAGTTGACTCGACAGCTTCCTCTCTTTGCTTTGGTCTAGGCTCCGCTCGACAGCCTTCAGCAAGTCCTCAGGGAGAGCTGCACAGCGGAGGTGTTCGCAAATTAGTGCATGAAGCTCTTCCAGCTCAGATTTGGCCATCCAGCACAAGAGAAGACCATCCAGTCATGATCAATCCTATCTGGTAACATGGACTTGGGTGGAGAATGGTGGTGAAGAGTGTATCGTCTCGGAGGGGTTACAAATCTTTGGAATGTGAAATCGGCTATGGGTTAGCAACAGTCAGTAAACAAAGGCACTGTGGACAAAGTCTGGCGTGCATGGACGCTGCATTCGTTAGAGCTGAACATCGCGGCGACGCAGCAGAATCAAAGGTTGGGGCTCCTAGTAGCGATGCCAGGAGCCCCTAGTAGCGTCCTTGCTTCTAGTAGCGGTGCCCTTTGTTCCTGGTAGCGAATATTGCTCCAGATCAACAGGCATCTCTCCAATTCCTGCCTTCCAGCATTGAGATGCTCAAGATGTTCGGCCAAATATCGTGGGCGCATCCATTGCATGGCAACCTGCGAAAAGACAGAAACATGCCAAATCACATGCAAAATGCAAGTCGCCCCACCCCAGCTGGCATCACTGGACAAAACATCATTGTCGTGCAAGGAAGTCCGTGAGTCAAGAGCCACACCCCTGTTGCAACCAAGGAGGACGAGCAAGCCGTGTCTGCTGTGTTAGCTGGGCCTGGAGGAAAAAACTGGCAAGAACCATGCCAGGCAAGGGTGTTCAAGACTGAGGGAAGTGCCGATCAAATCGAGAGCATGAGACAGACGGCATGGCACAACCTGCGCATGTTGGAACTCTCTGCTCTAGTTACAGTACCTGCTGCAGTCATACAACGGGCTTTCTTGTGTAAAGTTTGCTTCTGCGGCCGGTCTGCCGAAGTGTTTGCTCCAGTGTAAGCTGCTGTATGAGGACCTCAATTTCAAGCGAGGGTCTTGTCACTAGCCTGAGCACTTCCATCTTAAGTTCGGCGCCAGTCACCTTTCGTGTCTCCTGCTCACGTAGCTTTTGAAAACACTGAGGCTACTCGTCGAGTACACTGCCTGCCCACGGGTTATCACGTACTCGGTTAGGTTGAAGGGGAACCAGTCCTTAGAGATAAATCAAAGCACCTCTGGTAGGTACCTCAAGCCTCGTTTTGAGCAGCTCGCCGAGCCAGTGTCGCCCAAGAAAACGCCAACATTTCTCCCACGAAGGCTATCCTCACTGAAGCATTGTCATCAAGAGTTGGCAAACACCCCCCCTCCAGAAGCAACTGCCTTGGTATGTCCAGCCCTGAATAGGACCGTGTAGCCATCTTCCATCACCACCCTTTGGCTGGGGGACATGAACCTGGCGATTTCAGAATGAAGCTGGTTGGTGCGGATAGGAATGCAGCCAGAATCATAAACATCCGAGCTTGCAATCTGTCCAAGCTCCCTGCATGGCTTCTTCAGAGGGGATGTCAAAGAACGAGTTGTCAAAGCCATAAATGGCTTCATTGGCCTTGATGAGGTGCAAGATGATACAGTGGTATTATAAGATTGACAAATGCCATATGCCGCCTCTGCCGAGCAAAGAAGTTGCACGAGAGGCCAAAAACTCCCAAAGCTGGGCTAAGGCAGCATCAACAAACCCACCATGGTATGTATACACTTTGCCAGGCAGGAATTCTCCATCCTGGCCATTGGCACCGCAGTCAGGCTCTGATCATGTCCGTCTGTCATACCAACACTGTACACCAACCGTCCTTGGAGCAGTAAATGTCTGTGTCCCACCTCCACGGCACGTGTACGGTCTCTGAATCAGCCAAGCGTAAATCGTGTGTGGGTCTGAAATCGTGCATTCCTTCCAGCCTCGCACTCGGAATTCCAAGCATGCCATCGGTTCCATCAAGCAGCATCGACCAGTACCTGACATGGTCCTATTCAGCCTTTCCAAGTGCCAAAATCTGCAAACCCGTCTGCCGCACGAATCTGGGCTGGAACCATTGCCAGGCAATCGGCACATTGCCTTGGTCTCAAATAAGCCGCATAGAAACAAGAACTCCAACATCCAGAATCCAGAAAGACATGTTCCAACACGTTTCTCTGGAAATCTCCCGGGGTTGCTGCGCTCATAACATGCACCTTGTCACCCTTGCAGGATGAACACATGATGATGAACTGAAATCTTTGCTTGACACTTGTCTGCTTGAGAACTCGAACTCTGAGCCTCCGGATGAGGCCTTCCACTGAGGATTCCCATAGCTTCGGCCTGGAACATGAGATGGTATCTGATCTTCCTTACCAGTCTAGGTCAGCACATCAATGCTGCGCCGGCCTTCATCATGGGGTGGCCCTCCAGTTTCCCAATCTGGAACCTCAGCGCCGAAAAGGTCTCATCATCCTTCTGCCGACGCACCAGCTTGGCGCAGGACTTTGGAGGAGGTTCCAACACCCACGTCTGAAGAACTGCAAACCTTCAAGTTGGATGTTTTGTGGGGCTTTGTTCGGACACTTGAAAAGCACAAGGTCGAACAATGCTCGATATGCTCGTCTTGTTTTGGCCTGCCATCAGGCTTGAAGGAGAAGCTCATGCGATCCTTGGTGAATGGTTAGATCAGATCCCTCAAGAGCTGTCAAGAGTGCGACCAACTGAACACTGAAAACATCTGAAAACTGAGCAGACTGAGCATCCTCACTCCTCGAAAAACCAAGAGCTTCCGTCTCATGGCGGGGAGGGTGACCTCATTGGATTCAACGATCAAACACCTAGCTACTGGGAACAAGGGCATCGCTACTAGTGACAAAGCGCATCGCTACCTAGTAAGAAGAAGCTACTAGTAACAAGGGCATCGCTGCTATAAAGGGCATTACTACCAGTAGCATTCTTGCTACTTGTGAACTCTTGTGTGGCTCAAACAGACTTACCGACTGAGCAACCCAGCCGCTGGCTCTGGTCTACCACTGGCAGGGTTGAGAACGATTTCGCCCCCAGACTCCAGCCTCAGTGCATTTCAGGGACAAGTTCCAAACCACAGTCTCATGGCCCTGTGAGGCCAGAGCCACATCATGCAGCACAGCTTCCGCCGCCGGAGAAATCGAAGATGCTCCTCAAATGTCAAACTGATGTTCCTGGTCGCCGCCCAATCCCCGCAACGGACCATGTCCTCCAAATGTCCCTCTTCGACGTCATCATCCTCGGCCAAAACAAGTAATTAGGCAACGTTTTCCCAACTTGTCGGGCATCGAGACTAGCCCCCGAGGCACGAACATTCAATGGGTCACTTTCAAGAGAGAACTCCTCTCGCCCTCGGGGGAAGAAGCGTGCGGGACGCACTAAACGCTGAACAAGGTCCGCACGTGTGGCATAAGGCACCCACCTTGGTGTGGAGCCATTGTGCTTGAGCGTCTCACATCTATACACCACGACACTACGACACTACGTCAAACGTGCAGATTGATGTAGAAGCCTCTGCACATGAATTGTATAGAGCAAAACGCCTTCAGAATAAGCCAGCCACACCATACCAGGCCACCGTTCTCCAATGCAGCCTGTCAGGCAGAATTGGCGCCACAGCAAAACAAGAGCTGCGCAGGCACAAAGAAGCCAAAGCTTCTGACGGAATCCCATGTTGTGCCAAGAATTTGCAGCCACTGCCTGCAGCACGTTTAATGCATTTACTCTTTCAACAACTTGAGTGAATTCCTGACCGCTGCCACTCACAAGCAACCTGCGCCAGGATCGTAAACTCCGAGTCCAAACGGTTGAGATTCTTAGCATCGCACGAGTCCAACTCCCAGCACGGAGCACCCAAAAGCACTGTTCATCATGCCAAGGGGTTGGCTGGCTCGTCTCTTGCGCGTTGAGGAGACAGGAATTGGACCTTTCCTCACTGTTCTGCAGAATGCACAACTCAAGGACCGTTTAAAGTAAACCTGAACATTCATGTGCCTCGAGCGCCATGTCCAAGGTAATCCGCTATCATTTCCTGCCGCAAACCTGGCTCATGCTGCCAAACAAGGCACTCCATCTCTCTCTCTCTCTCTCCGCAGGGTTTATCCACACAACCATCCCGAAGATCATCTTTGGCGGTGCATGCAACTGTGGATTTGAGCAAGGTGTTGGTCCACAGGTGAGAAGGGCGGTCAACTTTATATTGCTGATCAAGCATACACGAATCTAGCGTGGCTATGATGGGTTAGGTAGGGGGAGGTGGCACTAAAAACGGCAAAGCATTCTGCCAATGTCCAAAATGTTCGCAACCAACCATTAAAAGAAGACTTGGCGATCGGACCAACTGCAGCATCAAAGGAAGACGCTCTCCTGTTGCTGGGCGCCGTGCTCGTGAAGCGTCGGATTGACCGAGCTTCTCGGCAGGCTGCCTCACCTTGCAGCAATATGAGACTGAGTCAGGTGAGGCTTGAAGCTGTATCACCACATCATGCCAGCCAGCAAATCTCAGGCCGGGGGGCATAGGGCATCCGAGTCAGAGAGCTGTACCACTGCCCACCCCTTTGACTCCACAAGTTCACCTAGCGTTGGACTTTGATCAGATCATGTCGGACGGATCTCCTGATCTCATCTCTCAGTTTCATCCCTATCAAAGGTGTTCAGGCCTAGTTTCATGCCAAAGTCCAGCATTGCTTCAGGCTCCTTGGAGGATCCATGCTGGTCGACTGAAGTGACACGAAGTGATACGACGGGTTCTGGATTGAGGATGGCACTGGAGCAGGGAACACCAGGTCAAAACCTCCATCCTTTGCACGAAAGTGGCTCCATCCAAGTCAAACTACAGTGCTACAGGATCCTCGGACTTGGCCTGGGCAGGTGGTGAAACATGTTCGACCAGGTTTTCTGGCAAAAGCGCCTCAACATCAATCAAACACAAACTAGGCGCATGCGAAAGCAAAGGATGAATTGCATGCTGTAATGAAAATTGTCCATCAATGGCCCTAAAACTATTCATCCAGTCAGGAACGAGAACGGAAAGACTGAAGACAGAATCAAGCTCCGAAAGCCCTGCGAGACCCTGACAAAGGTCATTCCCAAGTCCCAAAGCTCCACGGCGTAGTGCCTGTGAGAGCTGTCAGTCTCAGCTCGCGTCAGTAGACGATGGGTATAGCGATGGCCTCCATCTAGTAAGGATGCTCCTAGTAGTACGGCCAGGAGCCCTCAGTAGCATCCTTGCTCCTAGCAGTACGGCCAGGAGCCCCTAGTAGCTTCTTGTTACTAGTAGTAAGGCCAGGAGCTACTAGTAGCGATGGCCTCCACCTAGTAGCTTCTGCCTAGTGGCACCACCCGCCAGCTCGCCTTGCACATCCTGAAGCCAGGCCAAGAGCACGTCCTACGAGGCCATTAAGATCTGGCACCTGCCTTGGTGTCGACACAGAATCGTGAAATGGTGAACTGGATTTTGTTACTAGTAGCGTGGCACTTGTTACTAATAGTAAGGCACTTGTTACTACTAGCGATGCACTTGTTACTAGTAGCAAGAGGACGAACAAACAGTTGCTTGGACCGAATCTGCGATGCCCTGGTCTCAACTTTTGACCCAAGACCCCTGAAGGCCCTCAAGTCCTAAAAGGTCTTCCATCTGTGCATCTTCCATCTTCAGCTACGACCTTTATCTAGACTGAGACATGCGCCTCCCATCACCGAGGCTATCAATTCGTTGGACATCGGCCAGCGAGCCCACGCCTTGGAGCAATCTGCACGTGGCCGTCCGTTTGTTCAGATCCGCTGAGGATGATGCCATGGACTTGGACCACTTTGCCTTCAAGAGGCCTCGGGAGCAACATCACCGTCTCACCGTCTCGCGAGTTCAAAATCTGAGAGCTGCACAGAGTGCGGCCAACCATTTCAGCTAAATCTACCAATCTATTGAGACAACATCCGTGGCAAGGCCTTCAGTCTCGTGGGTCTGATCTGCAAAGAGGTGAACAGTTCTGGCTTGTTTGTTTTGCTATCGGCGTGCAGTTGGTTCTTCAACATATTTATATACATTTGCCATGTACAATTCAAAGTGGCTATTGCTGCCATCATGCTACAATGTACTGAATATGAGCCACTCCTTCTGCGAAGGTCATGGAGTTTGTGTGTATCTTGCTAGGCTTCACCAGCAATCTCATCCACAACTGCAACATCTATGAGTCTAGTAAGGTAGTTACATTTTCTTGCTGCCCACGTTGCGCAGCTTCAACACTAGAGTGGAAGCTGAGTGAAACAGCGCATCATCAAGCACTTCTTGTGCTCTGTTAGGTCTCTGCAGCCGCTTCACCCAGATCACCTTCCTCAGCTTCACCCGCTTTTCGTGCATCCGGCATCTCGCAGCAGTAGACGTGATACCTCGATTCTGTGCGTGATGCGTGGGGGGATAAAGGCAACCAGCAACAAAATGGTCAAACCATTAAAGCAAGAAAAATGGACAACAGCAACAACTAGTGGTATTCTGCGAAAAGAACTGGCAGGGAGTCTTTTTTGGCAGACACACCTTGAGAATCCTTGAGACCAGCTGCACATGATCCTCCGGAGTCGCCACAGGGGAGACTGACAAGCCTCCCGGATCAGGCGCGCCTTTGGGAGCCTCTTCAGGTCAGCCACACCGAAGAGTCGGATTGACAGCTATCTGCAACGACACCATCTGCGGATTAAAACGAACCATCTGCGACTTTCTTCACAGAGACGTACGGACACTTGAAATCATTTCAAACGGTGCATTGGTGGTATGTACAGGCTCGAACTGAGTCAGTCCGATCAATCACATGGCCTACTTTGGGCCAAACATCGATAGAAATAGATCAAATCCACGTCACATCATCCTCATTTACCTCGCACCAAGCAAGTCCAAACTGGATTCCCGTGAGCACACACACAACATAACATGGCAGGTTAATCACCCCAATGAACGCCTGACTTCCACAAAATGGGCCATTCTGTCAAGGAGCCAAGGCAGACGAGGTCTTATTCCCCTCATCTACCCACATCAGCAGGTGAGCAGCTGTCCAGCTGAAATGGGGAACTCCCTGTGGAGCTCCTCCCAAGTCATAAACAAAATGAAGGGGTGCAAAGCATTCACCTGCTCCAGGCAAACACATCCAAAAATAGCATTCTTCGAAATCTCCTGTCTCCGGATGGTAGTGCTCATGTAAAGGTGTCCTGGCGGTGTGTCTTTCTCTGAAGTACATTCTTCGGACTGATTTACTAGATGTATGGCACCCTTCACCCATCATCACCAAGCGGGTCGTATCGTTGGATACAAAGCCCCGGAAGATTCTCTGCTTCAGCTCTGACGCAAGCCCTGCAAAGACCTGAAGTGCAATTCTTGTGAAACGACGCAACAAGACGTCGTGGCTGCGTCGGACCCGGGTTCAATCCCCAGGTGCAACGCTCGGCGGACAGGCGTGCCACTACCCCACCCGTGCAGTTGCTAAGGTGTGGACTGTTCATCTTATATATATATATAACGTTGTATCTCGGCAGGCTTTCACAGCACCCTGGAGTCCTTCGGTTTGGCCTGTTAAATAGATTTGTCACCCATACTATATTTGTAGATATATGTGTGCATACTTTTATATATACATATATAACTGCAACTGTGGCATATTCACCTGCTGGAAGACAAACATGAAAGCAGTTATATAGCGTGTATAACTTGAGCCTGCAGTAGCTTTCAAATGGACGAAGCGAAAACAGAAGCTGGAAGCTGAGGAGCTCACTGAAGAACCATTGCCCTTGATGCGAGCAAAGCCTTCGCTGCTGGGCAGAACAATCAAAGGCAACAACGTGCTGAATGCCTTAAGCTACTAGTAGCAAGAAGCTGGAGGCCATCGCTATTAGGTTGGAGGCCATTACTACTAGTAGCAAGAAGCTACCAGTAACAGAGATGTTGCATTTTGGTTCAGGAGTTTGGCACAAAGGATTCAAAGGGTAAGTTGATCAAAAGCACGAGCGGCATCAATGGCAGATTCTTGCAAGCACATCATACTTCCGAGCTCTCGCATGCTTAGCCCAAGACTTCTCAGCCCAGTATACGCAAACCAAGTTTGATCGATCCATGTAGGGCCTCACAGTCCAACACTAGGTCGCTCCGCATGAGCTGGAAACAGAAGCCTTGAGATTCTGGCCCTTCCAGTACCCCTGGGCATTGAAGAAACGATTGTTCTTGCTCACCTTAGACACTTTATACTTAGGCTATCCATCAGGCTCTCTCTTCTCAAACGACGACGATGAAACTTACCATACAGATACGGCACTGTGGGAAGGCTGAAATTCAGGAAGAACTGATTGGAATCCCAAAGAGTATTGGCCATCCTCAGTGCCTGGTGCCATTGCAAGCTGTGACTGGACGGGTTAAGACCCACAGTGAGAACAGCGAGATGTCGCGTGGCCTGGGAATATGTGGCCACTCCAGAAAAAAGGGCCGCAAAGCCCTCGCAGCCCTTTATGGGCAAAGCCTCGGAGAGATCTTGACTCCAGAGCTGCATAACTCTGCAAGCTCTGGGCTCCAACACCGAGCCATTGAAGTACACATCGGAAAAGAATCCTGCCCTGCAAACTGGAGTCCAGAAAGCAAAATCATAACTCTGGGTGCGGAACAAGCAAATGTGCTATCTATGTATGTCAATATGTCTTTGTGGTCTCACTCTCCATCTCTATCTCGCTCTCACTCTCCTGTCTCCATCTGGGACGAAGAAGGTGTTCTGCAACTTGGGCAGCAAAGCTTCTGCATCTTGCTCCCATTCCCGTGCGTCATCGGAGTATGCCAGGAGAGCTGCCATCTGGGATAACAACCTGTAAAGGTGAAGTAATTGCTGTGACCAAGAAAGACGGTATCATGAAAACGATGTAAAACGGCTACGTTCAGCCAAGCTTCTTTTTTTCCTTGAACAGGTACGAGTTCAAATCTACACTCCAAAAGTCGAGGGTAGTAACCTCATCGCGATCAGGAATGCAGGCAATTGCAAAATGCAACTTCAACCCAAAGCGCCAAGATGTTCCAGAAAAGGAGCATGACTGGTGGTGTTGGCGACAGACCTTGCGAACTCAGGTTGAAACCGCACTCCATCATCCATTCCGCTCTCCATTCCTTCTGTCCAAGAGCAAAGACCAGCTCCAGTGACATCTCGATGCTTGTACCAAAAGTGATGAAAGTTGCTTACAATGGAATACATCTCGTGAAGAAATGCGAGATCCTGGGTTTGCTGAAAGACCGTCCAAACTGCCCATCCTAGTAAAGGTGGCTTTCCACTGCAGCCACCCCCATGCCCACAGCGATCCACCTTGTCAGGGATATGGCCAATTGCATCTCTAGCAGACACCAGCAAGCGTAGCTGATCTTTAGCCAAGTCAGGTGCAAAGTGCACCATCCCAACTGCTTGCTTGTAAGTGTCCCAGGACCAAAAGCCACCCTCATAGCCAATGTAGGATGGCAGAACTCCAGAGGGCAATCCTGGCACAGTTCTCCAGTTACCCAACAGAGTCATAACAGACTTCACAGCAGACCAAGCCACAATGGCATCCTTGTCCAGTTGGGACTTTCGGGCTGGGAGCTGAGCCTTGACAGCTTGCAAGTAGCCTTCCCAACGCCAAATGCTTCGGCGGAATCGGTCGCTCAAATCACGAAAGTCCATCCTGTCCGGAACGCTTGCCACTGGTGTGACAAGAATGAAAGCAGTTGCCATTGCGGCTGGGGAAATGTCGATTTGCAGGGAGGTTGCTTCGAAGTGCTCCTTGCTGTCAGTGACGTTCCAACTAAGCGGCTGCAATTCATCTTTCAGAAGGACCGATTGGATCAAGACCAACCGTCCTCGTCCATATAGTGAAGGGGCAAAGCAAGGCATGGATGAATTGGGCAACCCGAAATTGATTTCTTCACCTGGTTGTGCTGAGATGTTGGCACCTGAACCTCCAATGCTGAACTGGCCGTGAGCAGTCTGCTTGCCACTATTTTCCAGTGTCAATTTCACAAGCGATAAGTTTGCAGAGTCAAAGATCAAATGAGCTCGGAACCGAAGCCCTTCGGATTCAGAAGCAAAAAGAATGGAACCAGGATAAGAAGTTGCATTTACCGGATTGGCCCAGTGACCCTGGAAATGCATCAGAGGTACCCGTGAATCTCCCAGCGACCAATCCGGGGCGGGCCCTCGCAGGGCCGTCGACTCTCCGAGGGGCTCAGGTCGATACCCAAAGGTGGAACCCTGATCAAAGAGCCAGGTCGATACACCAAGCACATCTGGCCAGTCAAACACAGATCCAAATACCAAACGGTAACTTAGCAGCAAGCAACACGCACGAGGAGCTGCCATGAGCAGAATCTAGGTACAACTCGACTGGAAAATTACATCTTCCAACGGTTAATGGAGGAAAATAGCATGGCTGTGCTTTTCTGATCACTCTGCTGGCCCAGTTTCTCAGTTTCTGTATGTTCCCCGGCTGTCTCCCTTGAGCCCGCTATCCGACATGAGAGGACCTATATACGCTAACAAACAAACCACAAGGCAAGATCCCAAGCAGACTGAATTGGCCCAAAAAGTTCCCTGCCTTTCCGCCCTTCTTTGGTTCTGGAGAAGCATCCTGAGCGAATCTAGTAGTGAGGTGCAAAGGGGGAAGGCCATGGCCAAGCCAAAGCAATAAGGCTCAGGCCAAAGGTCGTGGGATGGTGTTGGTGAAGACCTCCCACGGACTCTCCTGCGCACGTCACGTGGGCTTGGTTCGCTGTCTTTTTCCGTACGAAGACCTTGGTAAAGGAGCTCAGGAGTGGCACTCTTTGGCCAGGTCGTGCGTGGGAAACGCAAACCTCGGTCTGGGCCCAAGAGCTGGGAACTTCTTGCGCTAGAACAAGGCCCCAGCATATCTCCCAGATGATTTGAGCACCGCCTCATTGCAAAAAGTCTCTATCCAGCACGTTCCATGAAGAACATGAACATGTTGCCATTGAGCGTGCTGTGGTCCGTGTTTGCACGTCTTCGGTTGTGTGTTGTGTGTGTGTGTGTCCGTGTTTGTGTCCCTGTCAGTGCACCACGCCCGCAAGAGACGACGAACGCTCCAAAATCTCTTTGACACTGCCGGCCGCTGATGCCACAAGAGTCGCAGTTGGAGAATCAACTCTAATCTGAGTTGACTGTCTCTTTGCTTGGATCGTCAGGCCTTACCCTTCAATGTGGCATTCTTGGATTATGATTAATAGCGTTGGCTACCAAAGCTGCTCCACGGCACATTGTTGAACTCCTTACATCAACCAGGTTATACGGGTCAATCATGGCCAATCCAGATACACCGATGATTCATGTATATACGGAGAAAAAGGTCTATTGAAAATGCACATCGAAGGGTAGGCAACCTGACCAGCACAAGACTCGAAAATCGGGGAGCTTCAGCGCAGCCGCACAGAAACAAAAGCTTGTTTGCGAACTGGGACACATTGATGGGATACCCAAATCACTTGATGCACGTCCCTATGGCAATAAGGAAAGGCCTCCAGCGCTCAGCAAGCGCAATTCACAGCAAGAAATGGGAGGGTCGATCGTGGCGGGAAAAAACCTGGAGCTGAGTTGATGATGTGAGCCGTATTGCCGTGCACCCACCATTGATGTTGAAACTCTGGCCCATGACGACGACCCTCCGAAACCCTCAGAAAAGGATTAGTGCTTCTGGACGCTACAGCTGCACACCTCTGCACTCTTTGGACACTGGCTTTGCCGCTGCATCTGGTCGTGACTGGGCAACTTCTATGCAAACTCACTTGCACTTGCTCACTCCTCAATGGTCTTCCACCTACATCAAATCAGGGACACTTCACGAAACCTACCCCAACCTGAGAAAGCACCAATGACTCAATGACCCTGCCTGGACCCTCTGCGGGTTCCCATGAAGATTTTCTGATGGACACCCTGGCTCTTCTCTGACCTGAGTCTCAGAGGGCAGGAACCACATTCCAGACCATTCAGCCAGTTCGGCTTCTCTTCCATGTGTCTTGCAAGCAAGGTGCGAATTCCACCAGGCCTTATGTTGACATAATGTCTTGAATCTGTTGAATCGACTTCTGGAAGCCACACTGTTGAAAAGGGGTTGTGGTTTGTCTGGTATTTTTCCGGGTTTTTCCTGGCTTATTTTTTTCGAATGTTCTAGGGGTGCTGTAGGATCACCAGGAGCAGCAGAAGGGTCAGGAGAAGAAGAAGGGAGCGAGCGGGAGGGAGAGGGCGAGACAGTGACTGCTACATTGGAATGGTTCCTTCTCTAAGTTTTGCCCTCGGGTGGCTCACAAAAGGTCTGCTACGATGGAATGGCACCTTCCTCCTCTAGACTCTAGAACTTGTCTTCGGGTGGCTAACAAAAAGTCCGCTGCCTTGTGGCTCACAAAAAGGTCCGCCTAAAGTCTGCCTGCGTGGCTTGCTCCTGCCTCCTCGGAATGGCGCCTTCCTCCTCTGAATGGCTCCTGCCTCTTTTAAGTTTGACTCCAGCACAGCATTGGAAGTAACACACGCTCGTTAGAGCCTGGGCCACTGCAAGCAGCACAGCATTTCAAGCTGGCCACTTGCAACAGCACAGGTTCCAATGAAGTCTGGCCACTGGGAGCAGCAAAATCCAAATAGCAAAAGTAGAAGCAAAAGCAGAAGCGAAAGCAACAAAAGAAACCTAGAAAAAAGAAAAAGAACAAAACGGTTCTGTTGAAAAGTTGCAGAAGGCACTTCATGTCCAAGGCACCAAGAACTCTGGAAAATGAACCTCTCCGTTCCTGGTCGCATCACAGCTACGGTTGAAGAGACGGAGTCGGTGTACACCTTACAAATAACTAGGCCGTGGGCTTGTCTGTGTCCATCTCGCTAACAGCTTTCTGAAGCTCATCTTGAGAAAGAGGGAATCCAAGCTCAGCCGCTGCCTCCAAATAGGGCAAACCCAGGTTTCGTGCTGCCGGGTATGTAGTGACAAACTTGTTGAAAAATGTTGGAATGTGTCTTCTGGTTCTAATGATTCTAGTTGATGGCAGCCCCAGCTACCAGCCTTGGCAATGCCAGCCTTGGTGAGCGTACCCTTCTGCTCCGCGTCGATGTGGTCAAACACATCCTAGACGATTGAGAATACCCCGCGGGATGTCGTTCAAGAGAGATTACGGATTTACTCATTCCGGAAACACCTCAAAGCCTGTTTCTTGATGTCGCCTTGCCACGCTTTACATAGTGTGGTCCATCTTCACATGGCTAAAAAGGCGAATGCAGAATGCATGTACATGTGGTACCTCAACCCCGCGAACAGCCAACTGGACAGACTAAATCGAAAAAGATTCCCATTGCCCATTGCCCAATAAATAAGTACTGGGTTTAGTTTTCATTGTGTTCAGCTGCCGGGAACCTCCAGGTCCAAGCCCCATAATTACTGGCACCCTCCGGTTGCAAGGTAAAGGCATGTCCATCGCAAGAATATATCCGTGGCAATATGCAGGCAAGCATGCACTTTTTTTGAACCTGTCAGTCCTTGACATCTGCTGTGCAGGCCGAACGAAGCAATGCGCCCTTTTTATCCGGCACCTCAATGGTGCACCCAGTGCGCCCAAAAGTATCACAAGTTCACACCAACCAATTGGCCTACAGGGCGGAAACCTAAAAGGAAAAGAACCGAGTGAAAAAAAACTAAAACATTTGTCAGTTTTTTTTGGGGGGCGCCCGCCCTTACATAATTAAGTAGGTACCTATCTAAATAAGTCAGATGGAAACGGTCTAAAGGTCTAGACCCGTTGAGTTCCGGAGAGGCGTGATGGTGGTGATGATGGTGGTGGTGATGGTGGTGATGGTGGTGATGGTGGTGATGGTGGTAGTGGTGATGGTGATGGTGGTGATGGTGGTGATGGTGGTGATGGTGGTGATGGTGGTGATGATGGTGGTAGTGGTGGTAGTGATGGCGGTGATTGGCAAAAGCCGTGGTGGTGGCAATGACGGTGATGATGGTGATGGTGGTGGTGGTGGTGAAGATGACGATGGTGGTGGTGAGGGTGGTGATGGTGGTGATGATGGTGGTGGTGACCATGGTGAGGGTGGTGGTGAAGATGACGATGGTGGTGATGGTGGTGATGGTGATGGTGGTGGTGGTGGTGATGGTGGTGGTGGTGATGGGTGGTGATGGGTGGTGATGGTGGCCCTGCCGCCTGCCACAAAATCTGCGCTTCAAGGTCCACAAAGTGCTGCGCCTGCCACGACATCAGAACTTCAAGGTCCAGAAAAGCGCTGCGCCTGCCACAAAAATCTGCACACCAATCATATTCACATTGCGCAGCCCTGTCAAGGTGTTTCGCAGCAAGAGCACTTCCAAAGACAACATAGAGGCCAAAGAGCGGCTTTCACTGAAGACTTTCCCCGGCTTCTGAAAACTAGCCACATGTCCAAGTCACGATTCACTGTACCTGCTACGAATTCAGGGCGCGCCTGCCACGAAAAGCCGGCTTTGGACCACACAAAAACGAGGTCCCCCTTGCGCCTGCCATTCAAAAGTGACCGCCAAGTCCAAAAATGTGCACGGCACCACGACGAGAGCGCAGTCGAGAAGAGCACCCGTGCCAGCCCACCAATTTCTGCGAGCCTGCCCAGTCGAAAGGCACTTCGAAGATCTCGCAGTGAATGAATGTACTGTAAATAGCAGCGAATTAGCCGGACACGCCGATGAGAACCTCAGATCAGACACCCGGCCTTAACCCTTACCTTAAGAACCCCTAATTAGTGTTGCCACACTGTTTGCGGCAAAACCTGCAAAAAACTAGCTGCCTCTAAGTACACGATAAGTCTCTCTTTAGTCAAGCCGCCGGTCCGGCGAAATCACGAGCAAGGAGCTGTTCCGCTTGCTCGTGTTCCATCAAAGCCCGCTCAGGAGACCAGCCAAGGCATTCCTAGCCGCTACTCCAAGCGACTGGTGGCATAAATATTGTCGACTTTGATCATTGATCCATCAATCTCGACCAAACATATCATATAGTCCTCCCATACCTGTTAAAGCCCATTTAGGCGACCCTTACAGTTTTTGCAGCAGAATCAAAACCAAGCGTCCGCCATGATTTCAACCACTCGCGGCAGGCATAATCTTGCAGCAGTGGAGTTCAGGAATGCCAGACGCGTTCTTCGCGCCAGCACATCTGCAGGGGTCACGGCATATTCGTGGTTCACCTCAAAGTGACATTGGCAAGGAGATGCAACAAAACTATGCGAAATAAGATCTGATGCAATAAGATCCAAGAAGCATGTCACCCAAACATTCCCTCAGAACCAATGATTCGAGGCAGGTGACTGCATACCGAACTTCAGCTTCGAGGTAGGGATACCCTGTCGTAGCGGCAGCACCCTCATACAATCTGCGATAATGCTTGTACAAGCCAGAGCGTGAACCTCAGACTGTTCAGCAGTCAATAAATCCCACAGTAGCCTACTACACAATACCATTCCCAGCGAAGACACCTTTGACAGTGTCCTGGTCCACCATGTCCAGTACCTGCCCTGCCTCAGAAAGTGTTTGGCACTTTGCGAGCCCGGCGAGGGTTCAAGTTCTACATCAAGATCTTCAAACAAGTTGCCCTGGTGCCATAGTTTCGCACCAAATGCTGAGCTACATCGAATGCCAAATCATACTTCTGGGAAAGAGTCACCGCCAAGTTCTCATGGTATCCTCCATTGCCAAAACGCATAGGAGCTATCTACAAAAAACCGTGAAGCACTGGCCGTGGAATATTGAAAAGGTGTTGGCCTGAGAATTGTATCCTGGGGCATCTTGTACACAATGTCGTGTCAGATTTTCTACATCTATCTTTTCCAAACAAAAAACACTCTTAAGAAGCAACAGGCTCTTCTTGGATCCGCTGTAAAGGATTCTGTTTGCAGCAGATTCACCGGCGGGTCCTTCCGGGAAAAGATCTGTCTTGCCGGTTCCCAGCAGCGGCGTTTCCAGCGTCTTGGATGGCCCAGCCTGAAAAGTGCAAATGAAAGACAAGTTGTCAAGAATGTCCAGCAGTCTAGCCAAAAACACCGCGTTGCTTTCATTTAGCCATTCTGCAAACAGCAAGGACAAGAGTTGGGAATGGATGTACAAAGGTTGGCTTGGAAAAGCAAAACATCCGAAAAGAAGCACATGGTTCTTTCTAATATGCATGGGCCCACCTTCTTCTTGAGCTCGGGATGTCCTTCAACAACCTGGTCAACTCCATCTTCCGCCATTTCTCGCCAGGTTGTCCACTTTCCACCAGACACAAAGGTGATGCCATTGGTCGGATGGTGAGATACCTGCGCGACTTCACAGGATTCAAACTCACCTACTTGCCTTTGCATGCTCTAAGAAAAAGACGTCGAACGAGAATCTACAAACAAACACCTCCCTTGAAAAGCACATGCGACAGCTTCAGTCTTGACCTGCAGATAAAAATCTCAGAAGAAAAGGAACGGAAGTGACCGGAAGAGCAACCTAATAGCTACTAGTGACAAGTGCCTTACTAGTGGTAACAAGTGCCTTGCTAGTAGTAACAAGAAGCTAGTAGAAACAAGTGCCACGCTACTAGTAACAAGTGCCTTACTGGTAGTAACAAGAAGCTATTAGTAACAAGTGCATCGCTACTAGTAACAAGTGCCTTACTAGTATTAGTAGTAACAAGTGCCTTACTAGTAGTAACAAGAAGCTGTTAGTAACAAGTGCATCGCTACTAGTAACAAGTGCCTTACTAGTAGTAA